GGGGCTGCCGGCCCCCCCCCCCCCCCCCCCCCCCCCCCCGAGGGCGGCCCATGGCAAAACGCCCCACGGAGACAGAGGGGGTCTCGAGGTACAGCTCGCAGGCCCTGAGGCAACGGGAAGCAGACCTGAGCCGGAGCTAGTACCTCAGCAGTGCAGGTCCAGTTCAGGATGGAGGTGAGCGAGCCGCGCGGGCTGGGCGGGAGGCCGCCTCAGGGGAGGGGAGAAGAGAAGGGAAGGGAAGGGAAGCGCTGCGCTGCGCCGCGCCGGCAGAGTTCTTTCTCCTCCACCTGGGACACTTATTAATGCCGGACCCGGCCCGGCTGGGTCTGCACCACCTGATAGACAAACAGACTCACCAATCAAAAGCTGCTTTCCTACATCTCCAGCCAATGAGCGAGCGGTGCCTGGTGAAGAGAGGGCTGCTGCCGGGCTCACATCTCGAGCGGGGTTCTCCTCAGCCGAGTTGCCTCCCGTCCAACGGCCGCACTCAGGCGCCGCCTTTCCCGCCCGCAGGGGTTGCTGTCACCCGCTGGGCCCTCCCTCCCTCAGACGAGGAGTTGTATATGCCGGGCGGCGGCGTCTGCTGGGGAGAACTGAGGGGGAGCAAGATCTCGGGGAAGCCGCTTGCGGACAGAAAGGGAGGACGCGCACCCCTATCGCAAGAGTTTCTTAACGCGCTGGTTCGAGCTATGGGCTCTCGCTGTTAGTGAGAAGTCATCCAGCAGTGAAGAGTTTCACTGCTGTCGTGAAGCTACACAAAATTACTTGTAGCTTGAGGTTTTAGAAAAGTGAAAGATTGACTTTCTGGTGGTTCATTTACAAAAGCTGAATTAGCTTGTAGTCTGCAATTAACTTACTGCCAAAGAAATAGAAGCATTAAAAGTGTTAGAAATGCCTTTCTTCTACCACCCTCCCCTTTAGAAAGAATTAGTAAGTGCCAAACAGAGCAGACAGTCCATCTCTTTTTTACAACTAAACAAGCAAAAGGTTGCAAAGGAGAGGTACCTTGAGGAGAAAAGGATGCTATTCCCCCCCAAAACAAAAAAAACCCACCCTCAAAACACCTTAAAAAATGTAATACAAAGCAATATGAAGCCCTGAGGTCCATATTATTATCACCATGTTTTCCTAACACTATAAATAACCTACTGTAACTACCAGTTCGTATAAAATTCTAGCGTGTCTGCGGATGAGGCTAAACACGACTGTGAAACACTTTTGACTCTTCAGTTTTTAACCTAGTGTCATAAACACTGGATAATCTTTAAAGCCATACAAATGCAGAAGTAGTACAGAAAACACTTCTTTCGTGCAGTTGTTTTGTAGTTGCTTACTTATTTTTGGTATTTCTAATAATTTGTACCCATGTTCCTAACATTGCTCTTTTTTCCTTTTTTTCATAGCTCCAGAACCAATATTCCTGAATACAACTCTATTTGGGCCTGGTCCTGTAAACTGAGGTAACAAACCTCATTTTCAGTAGCAAGTACCATTCCATATAAGATGCTTGCAAGACTGAGACCGTAGTCTTCTGTAACAGCAAGCTAAATAAAGGTTGTTGGACAGTGTTTGCTTTTCATGGAAATCAATGTGTTTATCTTTTCCTGTATTGTTCTACAGGACTTTCACTTGTATTTAACCCTTAATTAAATAAAATATTCCATTTTTTAATTTAAAAGCAAGGGGTAAAATGTCCTGTGTAAGAAAAGAGGTATCAGTGTATTTTCTCCAGAACCATAGTTTTTTAACACCATTTTTTACTCAAACTTTCACTACAGTTCAATGTAACATACATTTCTAAGTCTCTGCTGCACTCTACTTGAAGGGACTTTGTATGAGCATACTCAAATTAGCTTTAACAAAGCTATCTTGAGCAAACAAGCAAAGATGGAGCAGCGTAACAGGCTAGCTACCCAGTATCTAGAACCCCCAGGTACATAGTTTGCGTTAAAGCCTATTATTTGTAAATCCATCTAGCTAGGCTTGTCAATCTAGGAGGCAAACATGACTGGAAACTGAAACTCCACTGTCAAATGTTGTTTGTATACTGCTTATATACGTTTTGCAAAATTACAAATATTGTTTTGGTTGCATACAAGTTCTCAGTTGTGGCAATTCGCTAGAGCCTTTGTAAGAATAGAAAACACTTAAAATAACCTTTCTTTTTCCCTGTAAAAATATGTACAAAATAACCTCCACATTTTTTCAGTGCCAGTATTGTCTCATAGCTATTAGTACAATTATCTAATGAATTTCACCTTGTAAAATGCTAGCTTTAAGAATGTTTTCACCTCATACAGTTTTGTTTTTGTAATCAATTCCAATTACTGTTTTTAACATTTGATGATGTCAAGGCCACAGTGACATCTTGTGGCATTTCTTTAACTGTAGATAAAGAGCAATTTTCTTGTAGTCTTGCTGCATTTTAAGACTATATCCTGATTTTTTAAATATCTTTTAGGTACCACTTTTAAAGTTGTGTTGCATAAACATTAATTTCTACAGAACATTCAGAGGTGGTGATGAATCTGTTTAGACTCCAAAATATTTCCAAATGACATCCAGATAATCTCTTCAAAGAAATCATCACATGCCTATTATTTTCTTAAAAATATAAATTCTCAGTAATATATTCCATTAAAGGATCTTAAGGCACTGTTATAGCCATCAAGGGATAAAAAGTTACTGCCTTTAAAAAATAAACAAACCAACCCCTTTTGGATCCTAAGCACAATGAATTATGGCTAGAGCTGAAGTCTTACCTTTGAATTTTCTTTGCTATCTAAGACTAACTGCTTAAGGCTGTGTTTTTAATGGCTTTTTTTTTTCCTCATGAGTGGGCCCTACCTAAATTCAGTGAATATATGTGCCAACAAGTACACTTTTTTTTAAAAATGAAATTTTGGTGCTGCTCACCTGTATGCAAACTGTGAGCTTACTTTAGATATCCAACTGAAAAACTTAGTCAATAATCTGAAAATAAACACATTGCAAATCTGTTTTATGTATTTTATTTGACAATGGTACAAATTAAATTTACCAGTATAATAAAAGCTTGTTCTATTAATTCTTTCACTTATACAGAAGAACAAAAAAAACCCCAAAACCAAAACAACTCCTTCCCCCATACAAAGAAACCAATACTAAGATTTGGCTGAATTGACAGTTCATTTCACATTTTAAAAGTAAGGTAAACAACATCTTGAGTTTTAAGAATTCTAGCTGATACTGCACAGAACAGAAGTTACAGAAGACCAGTACTAAATGAAATGCAGTAAACAGAACAGAAACTACAGAAGACCAGTACTAAATGAAATGCAGTAAACGACCACTAGGAAAGTTGCATTTCTGGAAAGAGCATAGACCTGTTTGTATAGTACATATCGCTACAGCACAAAAATTAAAATCTACTTTTCACTATTACAACAAAATTAAGCAGACTTTGCATTGCCATGTTAAGATTTCGCTCTTTAAATCTTACAAAAGTACTAGGAAGACTTCACTGAACAGAAAACAAATCCTTTAACACTGATAGTACAAGGCAAAAGAATCCTCCGTTCCCCCAAAGAAACCCAAAGACTCACACCCAGATTCAGCCCTGCTGTAAAGAACTTGTCACATTTTTCAACCCCTCTTTGTTCAGCTTACTACCAAAAAAAAAAAAAGATAAAATTATACACCATTTGTGCAGATGCTATTTGTGTACTAGGCATTAGCTGTTATTGATTGCCCATAGACACCTTTGAACGAAGAATCAATTAAAAGCTGATGCAGATGAAACTAAATCTACTTTGGATGCCAGATTTGATTCCTCTCTTGTGATCCAGGAAAATCGCTGTCTTTTGTTCTTTCCTCCATACCACAAAGAAGTTATGTAACTACAACAGAAAAGGTTTGTCCTGTCTATGTTAACACATTTCCAGAACTATGGAGTCCCAATCTAACAAAAGCTATTAATAATAGCTCTGTTTCTTGCTATAGATGAAGCCAGGGAATTCAGAGACTGATAATAGTCCAGCCCTATCAAATATCACCGTACCTTAAAATGCTTTACCCATTCATTGCACATTTTAATTCTGTTGTCATAGCCACCAAAAACAGATGAAAGGAAGCAAAAAGTAAACACTCATTTGAAAGAGTAGTTAAAAAAACAGTAGACCTGTAATATTACAAAATGTACATTCTGTAATAAATGTAGAACAGCTTGCTCTTAATAGGAATTGTAAATAAGACATTTTTTAAAAGTGAGGATTTTCTTGGGCACATTTTTGTAACAATGTACATGCAAAATAACAAAATAAAATTAAGTACTAAAGAAAGTATTAGTAAGTAACATCCCATCCACTTCTTCTGGCTGCTTATGTAAGTTTTGTATTTCATGTATTCATGTTTCTTACATTTCCAAGTACTAGGTTTTACCTTTCAGCTGCTTGCAGTGCTTCAGCAACTCTAGGCGAATAAATAATAGGATAAAAGCCACATCAGAGATCATTTTCCACTATTTCAGCAGTAGTAGATATTGGAGGCAATGGTTTTAGAACTATCTGCAAGTAAGGTGAGGTACTCTTTTTCTGGCTTGCTTTCATAGCAGCTTCAGGAACATCTCGGAATACAGAATAGCTTATATACATACTTCAAAGAGGTTTTATACAGGAGTCTAGAAGCCTGGCCAAGATTTTACTATACTCCTTCTATAGTTTCACTGGGAACTGGGTAGGAGGAGGTGGAAGGCAAGGAAGCATCTCAACATACAACTATCAAAAATATGCCTAGACCTCATTTGACTAGATACATATATTTAAAACAAAACAAAAAAACCCCAAAAAACAAAACCAAACACCAACCCCCCAAAACCCCAAACAAAACAAACAAACAACAGAAGCACTAAAGGGTAGGAGTGCATTTTTGTCTGCATGTTTCTGAAGAACTGGCCTAATTAATTGTAGTAGCTTTTCAGGTTTTAAGGAAAGAAGATGATTTTATCACAGCTAAACATTAGTATATATCCTTTAAGTTTTCTCAGAACTTACCTTGGAGAATTAGTAAGAAAGGAAAAAAAAACATATAAAAAGCCATATGGAAAAAATTCAGAGGCTACAAATAAGGACAACCAAGATGCAGTAATTACACCTTCTTCTCTCCTTGAACTCAGTACAATTCACTGAGTATTGTTTAACATCTAACCCCTTCAATTCATTGGCTTATATTTTATTTTTGTGATTGGCATAATTAGGAAAACCAAACTGAGAAATCATGATATTAGAATATTTTAAAGGCATGCCATCATAAATATTAACCAGTTTATTTACACAGTAAGATCTCTGTAACAAATGCTCTGCTCGGTGCCACATTCCAGAATAGCCACTGTTAGTGTCTTTTTCTAAATTTCTTATATCAACAGGCTTCACAAACACTCCTGAAGGCTTACCAGTATGCTTGGCTACAAGAAAATTCATGGCAATATCATCACAATTTTGAGTTTCATCTATTAAGGCATAAACAGCTTCTGGCTGTCTTTGAAAGTCTTCTAAATATCCACTATGAAAAAATGCTGCACCAATAAGAACCATAGAATACTGATCTCCGTTTCCAAACCCAGGATTCTGCAGTTCAAAGCTGCCATAACTGTATACACCTGAAGGAGTAGAAATGTGCTTTCTAGGAACAAATCCCACTATATGCTCTGGAAATTGCTGAAAGAAAAAAGAAATTTAAAGCATCAAAATGAAGTCCACACTGTGAAATATGTGCTAAGTATTTTCATAAGAGAGATTTTTTTTTAAATGAGAGGAGCACAAGATTATTGCCAGGAAAGAATGAAAATTGCTGGCATATGGTCCTTTGATCTGCATAAATGTTGCAATTAAATACAGTTTTGCAAAACTAACACAATATGCCTCATTCCATATCATGTAGTGCCAAGAAACATCTATCCACAATTTCCAGCTGTGTATTTGGCACTCAAAGTAAGTTTACAGACAATTTCTCTCAGAGATAAAACCCACACAATTTTGTTTTGCAGCCTACTATAGTTTAAATAAATTCAGCAGTCAGCAACTTCAGTGTTCTTGTACAAGAAGAGTTAAAATTTTGAAAGTTACAGATTACAGGTATAGCTATTATTGAATATTTTTGCAATTTCTACTACTCAATGCTTCAATCCTTATAAAATCTAACTTTATAGCTAGAAAGTCAATGGTAAAACATTATGATATAGTGTTACTCTAATTAAAACCATTAATCTCAATTGTAACTCACAAATACTGCCTGTCAAGGTGCAAAACATTACCTGCCAAACAGAAAAGGCAAAAGCAAGGTCATGAGCACTGACTAGTGTATCATCATCCATCATTAAAACAGCTGAAGGGAGAAAAAAAAAAAAAAAAGAAAAATTTTTAACTTATCAAAAGATTAAACACATGAGCACAGTATGTAGCGCAGTATTTGACAAGTTAGCTGTGAAACTTCTATAACTATTAAGCTGAATTGCAGAACTGAATTGTAACTCCTTAAAAGTAGATTGAGAAAACGGATTTCAAAGCTAAAGCAAGGTTGCAGCTTTGTAGTAACTATAAGCAAACCTAAGTTTTAGATTATTTGCCAGGCTCTAGCAAAGCTCAGCAACCTTAGATCATCTGTAGTACAGCTGGACAGATGTGTGTTGGAAAACTTGGGAGTGTTTGGCAAAGCAACTCAAAATTCTACTAATCTTGTGTAAAAATACAAAAAATAAAGAGTTAGATACCATTCTTTAGTGTATGAGATATATACGGGATTCTTAGTATAAAATTTTACCAATCTCCTCACCACTTGCAAGTTCTAAGTAAGCAAGCTTAATAAATCGCACAGGCAACATTCAATATGATTAACTACAGAAGGAAGAATCAATGCCTTAAATTTTAGGCAAAAGACTATCAGAAAGTGGAAAAGGAAAGATATTCTTAGATCAGAACTCCAGACGCATTAAAATTCTTTAAGTTTACAGTCAGAATAAATCCTATTACAGTAAATAAAACACTTGGCAAGTTGAAGTTTCTAGTGTCTTCCTAGAAGTCATGGGTTTTGAGTAGCAAGGCATGTTAGGAAGGGGGCAATAAATAGAATTACCTTTACTAATCATGAGTAAGGTCAGGTCTGTAATGCAACATATGGGGCTTTTTTCCACTTGAAACAAACAGGACTTATTGTTGTGCTTCTCCTGAAAGAGCTTAGGAAGAATATTTAGATGAATAGCCAAAAGACTGGGGAAAATACTCTTAAAAAGGATGCATAATTTGAGATAGACAGCCAGACAGCTAAGGAGGGAAGTTTCTCTGAAGAGCAGAACATGCTTGAGAACTTAGTCTTAGAATGAATGGATTAAATCAAGTCTTTACCAGATGACTTAAGTCCAGATTAATGCAGAGACTCAACAAATACATGCACTATGAATTTCAGTGTACACTATAAAGGGAGGAGAGGCTGAACTATGTATGTTTGCCTGACAAAGGAAATGGAGAACAGACACAGTTGCAAAAGCCCATGAAATGCATTTGACATCCCTCTTTTTTTCCTTACTCTTCACTGACAGCCTGGTAGTGGTGGTGTGCATCTGGTATCATAACAGGTTTTTCCTTCTATATTACCCACATTCTATTAAGTGGCCCAACAGATCCATGGATTTATTACACAGTATAACTCAAACTATCTCTCTTTTAGCATTCAGATTTTAAGTGTGAAAATAATCTTGGTAGTAGCAATATGAATGGCTGATTACCTTTTGTTTCCAGCTCAGGGAAATTCTGGAGTCTGTTCCTCATGCGATTTACAGTTTGAACTTTAAAGACAACAGGGACAGGATGAGGCCCCAAGGAATTCCACATTTCCTCTGGTATCTTCTCACCAATGTTGTTCCACACAACAATTACTTTATGAAGGTGGGGGATGGCTTGATAATGATTTAAAAGCTTTAGCAGTAAGTCAGTTCTATTATATGTCTGCATAATAAGAGTAAATGAATCCAAGGCAGACTGACTCTGGCTTTTTGGTTCCCTTCTCAAATTGGGCATTTTGTCATCTTTGATATTGGGAAGCAAAGCTGTTAAAGCACCTGCCACAAGAAGCAAGACAATGATCACCACAGAAGTGAAGTGTAGTAGGCGGATTCCCATAACTCTTCCTGGAAGCTTACAGAAGTGAAAATACCTTTAAAACAAGTAACAGGAAAGGAAAAGTCATTAATCACATGTATAGTTATCTCTCTTACTTGAGCAAAACTCCCACAATATTAAGTAGACTTTTGTTTAAGTAAATAAATAAGGAGCATTTCAGGACTTGAGCCAATTACTTTCAACTATCAAGACAGATACTTCTGGTACTCAGTTTCTATGTTTACTTGCTTTTCACTTTTTTTGGTTAACTTTGGATTTCATCCTTTTGTGAAAATGAATCTAGAGTAATTCTTTAACTCTAGATTGTTCATCATCTCTTATTTTCTCAGTGCTGCATTTTTGATTAAACATCTACATACCTCACCAAACCCATCCAGCTAATTTGTAAAATTAGAATTAGATTGTAAAATTAAATTAGAAAGCTAATTTGTACAGAGACTCAGTATTTTCAGCATTGCAGGAGCTCTGCCTTAGCTGGGAAACAAAAGGGAGAGAAGGTGCCTTCTCAAGAGCTCTGGCAGAAAGGAAGTAGTTAAGATGCTCTTTCTTTTTCCATTGCTGAGGCACTGTACACAGAAGGAATGATCTTTACCACTGATTTGCTGGACATTTTGTCAATAGTTTTTATATCTGCTCGATAATCGTTATTAATGTGGAAAATATGATTCCGATCATACTAAATGAGGCTACAACACAGGTGGAGCAAAAGAAACATGCCAAATGGAATAATGTGGGAATGCAACAACATCAGTAACAGCTTGTCTGCTAAATCTAGAACTCAGCAGAATCTGGAAACGTCAGATGCTAGGTGCTATGTATCAGCTAACTGGGGGAGCAGCCTTAGTATAAAGCAAGGGTTTCTTGATCCTCCTGATCTTGGAACTAAACAGGAGCTCTTAAAAACCAGCTCCTACAAAGGTAGCCCTGACATTCATGCTGCTTAAGCAGCACTCCCAATTCTCCAGACATTTATAAATTGTAAACTCAGCAGGATCCAGCAGCCACTGCATTCCACAGTTTGCCCCTCAAATGTGTCATCCACATCTCTTCTTCCTCCTTTACTTGCAAGATTAGTATTAATTGAATACAAGATGAATATTCTAACTACTAAACAGTTACTCACGTATACATATTACTCATGTTACTCCATTAATAATTTCTAAGCTTTCAGCAGGGAATTCTGATCAAATTAGGTGATCCAGGACAGCCCCATCAATTACAATTTTTGAGAGAGTATCTGCGTGTTTTTTTCACAGAAGTTTTGATCATTTTTTTCCAAAGTGCATATACCATGCTTGAAAATATGAATGTAAATTATTTTAGTCTAAAAAAACCTCTCAACTTACCTCATTGTTGCCAAGTAGGATTGTTTTTGCCCCCCTTGTTTTTACAGGACAGTTGTTCGTGATCTTTGAATCTGTTGGAAATTAAAGGGACTGTAGAACTGAAGATCAACAGTTACCCCACATGCTACCCAGCATTCTTTTACAAGTAAACTTTCCTCTCAATTAGTGATTAATGTACGCATTCTTGGCCATCATCCAATCCCTCTTCCTATTGCTCAGTTGAGTAATTGTCTCTGCCTTTCAATGAACACTCCAGAAAGAAGTTATGACACCAGTTGGTTAGAAAGAAAAGCACAGCATATTCCTCTGCTTGTAAAATTGTCACTTTGTGCCAATGCAATGTCTGTGTGTTCCATCCTTAGGGTCAACTACAGAGATACACGTAGGTCTCCAGAACCTCACAGTCTGTTGCTTTGTTCACCAGGCACCACTAAAATATATATTTGGCTAGCACAGTCAGGCAAGTAGTCCCAATAAAATTATTTTCTTTTCTGGCTCATCCTCCTCACACTCTCCTTCCACTAAGCTTACCAGTTGTGTTAGAGGTTTAAGACACAGCATTTTGTTCTTCCATCTGGTTGGGCAGCTTGGCAGAAGGGAAAGCAAATAAGAGTGTAAGCACAAAAAGGAAGGATGAAAAAGATGCAGGACAGCAACTTAAGAAACCTGTGTCTGTTAAGGCTCCTAGGTTGTTAGAGGAATTATTGTTCTTTAAAACTAGTTAAACAAAGAAAGGGAGTTTTTATTTTGGATTTAGGAATGGTACTACGAAAGCTTAGAAAATGGTAATTTGTTGAACTCATTGAATACTTGAACCTATGTGAAATTTCTTAAGACTGGTTTGTTTAGGTTGTATAAACTTGCCTCTTAAAAATTTGCGTGTATACCAATCTGAATATGCCCACACATGCAGGTCTTCCCAAATTTGAGTTCCAGTTTTACCACGGACTTATTTTGTGAGGCTGGAGAGGTCACTGAAACTACTTCCAGAAGCTCATCACTTGGTCTAGTTGCTTCATTTTATAGGTGTAAACAATCATGCCTGACTTCTAAAAATGATAGGCAGCAGTGGCTACTCAGCATTTCTGAGGTCCACCATATCTTGGTCACGCGTGCTTTTAAAAAAGGTGAACCTGAGATTCTCTTTCCCCAGTTACAACCTAGACGCAACAATACTTACCAGTACTACTGTAATGACTAATTAGTTAAAATTTAAAAGCATACTTAAGATGAAAATATAAATATTGTTTACTGTGGTTATGAGGCTTCCTGGCTTTCCAAACATTCTTGCGTTTACTCACTTGCATACAACAGGCTGTAATGATAAGCAAGGATGATACTATAACATACTCTTTTTTTAAAATAAATGCCCATATAAAATCTTTAAAATTAGCATCCTGGCACTTTCCAGTAAGAAAGTGCCCATCAGTTTTGCCAATTAAGTCACGAGATTGCAACGCAAGATTGACCTCTTCAAAGAATTCTTACAATACCCCCTGTAGAGAATACCTCTTCAAAATAACACTGAAGAAAATAAAAACCCTGTGTCAAAATACAGTACTTCAGTCCTCATTCCAAGAGAATGACTTCTTGAAGGGGTTCCGCTCTCTTCGCGGGCAGCACCTCGTACTAGCATTTCATAATAATTACGTGCAGCCAGGCTGCAGAAGCGAACAGCTTCCCCTCCCGGGCAGAGCACGCCGTCCCCCCGCACAGCGCCCAGCCCGGCCGCCCCTCACGCACGGTTTCACTCACGTTCAGGAGGGCGCCAGTATTGCCGCTCGCTTCCCCGGCGGTGCGGCGCTACCAGCGGCTGGGCGGCGCTCCCGAGGCGGCACCAGCAGCAGCGAGCGCGGCGGCAGGCCGCAGGGCAGAGGAGAGGAGAGGAGGTGCCGGCCCGGCACCCCGCGGCGCGGTTCGGCTCGGCTCAGCCCGCCCGCGCAGGCCGCTCCGGTGACTCAGGGGCGGCCGGGCTCGACCGCCGCAGCGCTACGGCGGCGGCGCCGCCCTACCCCGCTTCCTGCGAGGCGTCCCTCCGCTTCCTCCCGGCAGGCCCCGGTTTGTAGTTCGGGGTCCTGCCGCGGGCGGGGACTTCGCCGCCGCC